ATGTACTTATCTTCAACATTAGAATATAAGCTCATTGCAAGCAAAGACTGTTTTGTTCTTTATTTTTGTATCCCTAGTGCCTAGAACATGGGTGGGGAACCTGTGGCCTTGGGGCCACATGTGGCCTTCTAGGTCCTTGGGTACAGCCTTTTGACTGAGTCCAAGTTTTACAGAACAAATCCTTTTATTAAGGGGATTTGTTCTGTGAAGTTTGGAGTCGGTCAAAGGACTGAACTCAAGGACTTAGACTTGGCCAAGAACATTGCCTGGCACGTTAAGCAGGTGCTTAATAGTAGTTACTGAATGAGCGATAACATGCTTTATTATAATTCTTAATAGTTTCATATTAGCGGTTTTTATAGCCTGTTTTAGATACCTGTGCTTCTCTATAATCATGAGTGATCATTCATTTTTAAAGCTCTAAAAACTGTTTTAATCACAGGACATTTCCTTAACATGAAGAACTAGCATTACATGTACATGTAACAGATAAATAGATTCAATCCTACTAAAAATAGAATTATTATTTGGCATTATTTTTAAAATGTCAGCTATAGCAATAAGACAAGAAAAAGCAGTTTAAAAAAATAAATAATGGCAAAGAAAAGAAGAAAAATATCTACACTCTTGGATGGTACAATGGTATATTTAGAAAATTCAAGAGCTTCAACTAAAAACAATTAATCAGTCTAATAAATAGCTTTACTAAGATATATCACACCAAGAAAAAAATCTAAAATGAACAAAATGCATGTAATTAAGACAAGGCAATATAGTAAAAATGGTAATATTACCCAAATTAATTTGTAGATTTGGTGCAATATCAAACAAAATGCCAAGGGCCTGCTACAACAAATTATACTGATAATAAAAATTACATTGAAGAACAAGTAGACAAGAAAATCAAAGGGAATAATTAAAGCAAAAAGTGAAGGAGGCATATGGTACTAGAAAACACATTATATTATAAAGGAGTAATTATCAAAACCACCTGAAAGCAGAAAAATATGAAAAAGAACAATGGATTAGAACAGATAATATAGCATTAAAAACAAAGACATATAATACAACAAAGTCTGATGGGAAGGGGAATCATTATTTCATAAAAATAGCTGGGAAATAAAAAATGAGATAATCAAAACTTAAGATATCATGCCATATGGAGCAGCTAGGTGGTTGAGTGGATAAAGCACCAGCCCTGGAGTCAAGAGGACCTGAGTTCAAATCTAGTCTCAGACACTTGACACTTACTAGCTGTGTGACTCAGGGCAAGTCACATAACCTCACTGCCTAGCCAAAAAAAAAAAAAAAGATATCATGCCATACTATAAAAATTTCAAATGCTCAATTATGTCAGTATTTTAAAATTAAAAAATCTAGAAAATGTAATGAAATCTATCACAATGGTCAAGAAGAAAATGCTTACCTATTTTTTAAAAATGGAATTATTGAAGAAAAACAAATGTATTTTATTACATGAAAATAATTTTGTGGCAACAACAACAGCTAGAACTTACATAGGGCTTTAAGGTTTATAATATACTTTATAAGTACATTCTTTTCTCACAACATTCTAGGAAATTGGTGCTATTAATGGGGAAGGGAACAAGCATTTTAAAAGTATCTACAATATGTGAGGGACTATGGTAAGCACTTTACGAATATCATCTCCTAACATCCTCATAACAACTCAAGGGCTAGGAAGGTGCTTGTGTTTAGTCATTTCCAGTCATGTCCAACTCTTCATGACCCCTTTTAGGGTTTTCTTGGCAAAGATACTAAAGTGCTTTGCCATTTCCTTCTCCAGCTCATTTTACAGATGAGGAACTGAGGCAAATAGGGTTAACTGACTTGTCTTGGGTCACACAGCTAGTAAGTGTCTGAGGCTGAATTTGAACTCAGGTCTTCCTATCCACTGAGTCACCTACCTGCCTCACTGAACAATATTAAAAAATAATTTCTTTCACTACAATTCAATAAACATTTATTAATCTTCTGTTATAACACTGGGCATTGTACAAGGCAATGGTGCTGACAAAACAAAGAAAAAAACCAAACAGGCCCTGGTTTTGTTGCCCAATTTACTGAGGAAATAAATATGATTTACACAAACAGAAATGATGATGACATCATATAATAGTAATAACTTATAAAACTATACCAATAAAAATATTGAATACAAATTTGTAAAAGAAAAATGAATTCAATCTACAAATTGTAAAATAATATAAAATAGGTAGTTCTCAAAAGACATGATAAACATCTAAAAACTATCCAAATTTTACAAAAAACAGAAAAATTAAACTTCAAACACTATTGAGAAATTATTATTACTTGTTAAATTGGCAAAAATATTTTAAAAGAATACAAGATACCAGAAGTAACAGGTAGGATCCTCTAGCACTAAGTCCATTGCCATTTTCAAAATCATTTGCTCAGGAAGGATAGAAGAGCAAAAACAACATTTTTTTTATTACTCTGTTAAAATTAGAAGATTTTTTTAAAAAATAAATTATAAAGAATTTAGAATTTGCTCAACCAAATGAGTGTGGTTCTAGATCCTTCTTATTTTCTCCTGATCTCCCTCTTTCTTTGAGTAATCAACATGTACGCCACCCAATTCCAAGAAATAATACTTTTGTTCTTCCCTCACTTCTTTCCCTCCATTCTTTAAACTACTTTTGTTTGACTCCTTTTTATGGGATTCACTCATACACATTTTTTTGTTCTTTATATGTTGCTGAGGCATCAGTACATTAAGAATCCAAAATAATCACAAAAGAAGATATTTTGAAAAAGAAAAGAGAAATAAATTGAAAACAAAGAGATGATTTTCTGAAAATAAAAACAAAAGAAACACCTAACAAAATTAGTAAGCTATTAATTTTATTCAAAAATAGAGGTGAGAAAGCAAACTGCCAAAATGCAAAATGAATGGGCTAAATTTATGACAATTAGAAATGAATCAGAGAATATTACCAGAAATTACCATACAGTTATATGCCAGCAAAGTTGAGAATTAAAAGAAAACAGATGAATATTTATAAAAATATAAAATACACAAGTTGTAAAAATCAATACCAAAAGACCCTAAAAACCCAACCTAAGAAACAGAAATTCAGCTAGCCAAAACACATAAAAGAACATTTTTTAATAGAAAAAGTAGTATAGCATAAGTTTTAATTGTTCTTTAAAGGTTTGATAGAATAATATTCAATCTATCAGGACAGCACCAAATAGTTTTGATGATTATTGTTTTGTCGTATACTTTGAGAGGTACTAGGTGGCTCATTTTTCTTCATTATTTCTTATAAGATTCTTGATTTTTGTTCTTCCAGATGAATTTTGCTACTGTTATTTTCCAGCTCTATAAATTAATCCTTTGGCAGTTTAGCTTTATACAGCACTAAATAACTAAATTAATTTGGCAATACTGACATATTTTCATACTGACATGATGTAAACATCACCAATTACTATTTCTCTATTTAGGTCTGTATTTCTAGGCCAGATAGATTTTAATTAATATTTAAGGAACAATTATATATTGTTACATAAATTGTTTTTATATCTTGAGAAAGAAGTACTCTACCAATATCCTCTGATACAACCATGGTATCGTTGCCCGCCGCTTGTCAAAGCTTAAAGCTTCTGCAGATTCTGACAGTATTTTGGTGCGGTCCTCAATAAGACAGAGGTGTTTGTAGGTACTCTGATTTTCATTATCATTGTTCTTTTTAATGCGATTTTAGGGTTTTATTAGATGCTCTGTGTGGGGATATTTGGAAATTCTTGGCTCCTAACATCTTCCCATAAACCTCCAGCTGCTTTTTTTTTTTTTGGAACGGGGAAATAACATACTGAGAGAGGAGAAGAAAAGGAATTTCTTATCTAGAAGTGATTGTTACATCAAAACAAAACAAAGTTCCACCTGAAAAGGAACCCAGAGTGCTCTCCAACACTAGGATGGGGCAACAGAGCAAGATTTTAGTGAAATCAGAGACTGGGGAGAGAGTTATTAAAGTTTTGTTTTTTGTTTTTTTTATTAACAGAGAAGACTTCTTTGCAAAAGTGAAGAGCAATGGGGGTAGAATATTGTACTTATAGTCAGAAATAAAGGATGTGCTTCTTTTATTTTTTTGGCCAAATTGTGCACTCTTTCCATTTCTTTTAGAATTTCTTTAACAAGAGTTTTATGAAGAAGTTAATAGGTAGAGATATTTAGTAGCGAAGGTAATGTAAGGTAATAGGCAATAAAGGTAATAAGAAGAAATAAAATAAGATTTTTAAAAAAAGGAAAGAAAAATGAGGAGAAAATTTTAGGTACTCCTAGTGGCTCAGTATTCGTGTACCTATGCTTGTATCAAATGAATTCTAGGTCACGATTCATGCTTGAATCTTATCTCTTAGACCAACCATCCCACTGGGACAACCTTAATTCCTATTTCCAGTCCCTTGCAACTTATCTCAATACATAATCTCTCAAAACTAAGAACTAATGAAAATAAAGTAAGAATTTATTAGCTTATATTATTTTGTATGAAGTTCTACTTGGAGTAATAGAACCCTTTCAAGACTCCACAAATAAGAATTTCAAATGATTTAATTTATTTCTAAGCTTAATTTTCCTATGTTAAATTTTTTTAAAAAATTAATTTCTAAGTAACTTGAAGTAATCATAATCTTTAAATTATAAAGAAATGACATAAACAACAGACACTGTTCATCATCCTGAGAAATTACTGCCTAATGAATATTTCTGGCTAACCAATGACACTTCATTTATTTTTTGGTTTTGGTTTTGTTTTGTTTTTTGGGTAGGCAATGGGGTTAAGTGACTTGCCCAGGGTCACACAGCTAGTAAGTGTTATGTGTCTGAGGCCGGATTTGAATTCAGGTACTCCTGAATTCAGGGCCAGTGCTCTATCCACTGCGCCACCTAGATGCCCCCGACACTTCATTTATAATATAAACATGGATGAAGTCTTTTTTTTTTTTACCTTGAGAAGGTATGTGGGAATGTTGCTGAAATCCACTGGTAACTTCAAAAGGAAACGAGCTGAGAACTCCCCAGTCTGCAGAAAGAGAACCATAACAGTGAGAACAAAAGATTCCCAAAAGGGTGAAAGAACTGTTATTATAACACATATCTTTAAGGCTTAAAGTTTATCAGTTAACATTGAAAAAGGAATTCTAACATATAGGGAGGAATGATAAGAGTAATAATTAAGAAGATTAAATTGTATATTAATAAAAAGTACAAAATACATTGTAATCATCATGCTATAGCAGTATCCTATTTGGTGAATTTCTAATGAAACACTCAAACCATTGGTCTTAATATTTATAGTACACTTGCTTGATGCCACATACTACTGTCATTAAAATATAAAAAACTGTATGTCTCGGAAACATCAAGTGTATTCTACATAAAACAATAAATTAAGAAGTACTTGGAGTACCTGATAATTACTTAACCATAATTACCAATTTAGTGAAATATACACTGATGAGACAGTTTAAGAAAGAGCACAATTAGGGTTAGGGTTAGGACTGTGGTTACTGGGAGAAACTGCTGACCATCAATTTATTGATTTGCCAGCTAGCCTAATTAATACATTGATTATTTATTACACTTAAGAAAAAAAAAAGAAGTAACAGTTTCTTCAATATAAGGCATCTTATTAGCACTGAAGAACTTCTAAGACAAAAGTGATTGAGAGATGGGGGTGGGGGAGGAAGAACCAGATAGGTGAAAACTCCACTAGTGGCGTTGTGAACTAATCCAACCATTCTGAAGAGCAATTTCAAATTATGCCCAAAAGGCTATAAAACTGTGTATACCCTTTGATATAGCAATACCACTACTACGTCTCTATCCCAAAGAGATCAAAGAGATCCTTTTTACGGTGAAGAATTAAAATTTGAGGAGATGCTCATTAATTAGGGAATGGCTGAACAAGCTGTGCTATATGGTTGTGTTGGAATACTATTGTGCTATAAGAAATGACAAGCAGGATGGTTTCAGAAAAACCTTAGAAACTTATATGAACTCATGCAAAGTTAAGTGAACAGAAACAGGAGGACACTGTAACAGTAAAAACAATACTGTATGATGATCAATTGTGAATGACTTATCTATTCTGAAAACACAATAATCGAAGACAATTCCAAAGGATTTATGAAAATGCTATCCACCTCCAGAAAAAGAAGTGATGGAGTCTGAATGCAAATTGAAGCATACTTTTTTTTTTTACTTTCTTAGGGTTGTTTCCTTGTTTTGTTTTTTGGTCTCTGTTTTGTTTTGCAGCATGGGTAATATATATGGGAAAATGTTTTATATGATTTTAGATGTATGTTGTTATTTGGTTGGTTTTCATCGTGTCTGATTCTTCATGATCCAATTTAGGGTCTTCTTGGCAAAGACACTGGAGTAGTTTGCCGTTTCCTTCTCCAGTAAGGAAATTGAGACAAACAGGGTTAAGTGGCTTGCTCAGGGTCATATAGCTAGTAAGTGTTTGAGGCCACATTTGAACTCAGATCCTCCTGAATCCAGGCTCAGCACTTTATCCACTGTGCCACAGTATAATCTCTATCATGCTTGCCTTCTCAAGGCAGTGTAGGGGAGGAAGTGAGGGAGAGAATTTGTAACTCAACTAAAAAAACGAATGTTAAATGTTTTACATGTAATTGAGAAAAATATTTTTTTAAAAAAAATATGTAATTATAATGAGCAAACTTGGCCCTGGAGGAGAAAAGTGGAAAGGAATTCCCTCCCTTTCCTTGCAGAGATAACAGGTTATAGTTGTGGCATGTTATCAAACAAGAGAATTTCAAGAGAATACTCTCCAGTAGGAAGGAGCTTATGCTGAAATAACTATGATGTAAAAATATCAATGAAATGTTTTTAAAAGAAGATAAAGTAAATGATATTTGTTGAAGTGACTGGCCAGCCTGGACTGTTACGTCTACCTTCAGAGAAACACATTATGCATTTTTCTTTTTTTTTCTTTTTTTTTTTTCCACATTATGCATTTTTCAAGTAAGGTTCGAAGAACTACACAGTTACATGCTACTTCAGTAACTGGTAAAAAAAAAATGTGAGAAGTAACCACACGGCAACAAATATTAACGTTATGATCTTTTTTATATCTTTATTTTACACAAGCAATTAACTCTTACCAGCTACTTACTACCTACCAGCTACCTACTATTCTTAAAGGTGAATCCACTAGTTAAAATTAACTTTTTAAGCCTTTAGTTTCCTTGAACAAAGTGGTTCTTCTTCAAAGTTCTAAGGAACAAAAGGAGGAAAATGTGGAATTTCAAAGCGAAACAACTGTTGTAACGTAATAAGGTAAAAAAAAACTAATTATATTTTCATCCCACAGACTTACACGAATTGTCAGTTATTCTAGTCCACAACCAACTGTATTTTGGTTCATAGTTTAGTTTACATAGTACATTTTGATTCTACTATCAATTCTGAACCAAAAATTTTTTTAGCCATCTAGAGTTTATGTATTCCCCAAAACTTTAGTTTTTAAACTAAATAGATGCTTTTAACTTATTTGCAACGAGATGATGTGTAAAATTCAAGTCATGATGAAAAAAATGTAAGGTCACGAAAGGAAATAAAGTTTAATAGAAACTATGAAAAATGATCCATGATACTGTGCTAAAATAGTCTTTGTATTTCTTCCCTTGCAACTACAAAGACAAGGAAAACAGGTAATGACAATAAAGCCAAAACTTTTCAGCTCTATTTCTTGTTTCTTTTATGATCTTTGATCTTTCGCTCCCTCTATAAAATTAAGTGGTCATTATAAACACATCTTACAAAGATACCTTGAGGAATAACTACAAGGTGAAAACAACATGCAAAAAGAAAAACACAACTCAAAAATACCACCAGAATTTTAAATTACAAGACTTTCTTCTTGCTTTTATATTGGACATTCCAAGTCACATCAAGTCAAATCAACAAGGATTTATTAACTGCCTCTTATGTTTCTGACACTTCACTAATCACTAGGGATAAAAAAAAAAGGTTTAAAAAAACAGCCTTTGCTCTCAAAAGATGTCACAGTCTAATGGGACAGACAAATTGAAAACAGCTATTTACAAATAAGATACAGACAGGATAAATGGGAGATAATCTCAAACAAAAGGCACTGACATGAAAGGGAATCAGGAAAAGTTTCTTTCAGAGGTTGGTATTGTAGCTGAGCCTTGAAGGAATCTAGAAGATGAAGCTGAGGAGGGAGAGCCAATAAAACTGCCTTGAGTTGATAAGTCGTACCATGTTCAAGGAATAGCAGAGAGGTCAATGTCACTGTATTGCTGAGATTGTGAAGAGAAGTAAGGTATAAGAAGACTGGGAAAGGAGGAGGAGGATAATATATGAAGAACTTTGAATACCAAACAGAGAAATTTATATTTGATCCTGGAGGTATTAATAGCCACAGGAGTTTATGAGAAAGGTGACATGGTCAGACCTGGTAGGTAGGAAAATCACTCTAAGGGCTGAATAGAAGATGAACTGGAATCAGGAAAGACTTTAGGCAGGGAGACCAGTCAAAAGGCTATTGCAATACTCCACATATAAAGTGATACGGGCCTGTACCAGGGTGATTGCAATGTTAGAGGAAAGATAAGGATATATACAAGAGAGAATACAAAGGTAGAATTGACAGGACTTGACAATTGATTGGACAGTGTTAGGAGAGAATTGATTAGTAAAGGAAGACACCTAAGCAGTGAGTCTTGGTGTTCTGGAAAAGAACAAAGAAGTTAAGAAGAGATAAGGTCTTGAAGGAAAGATAACGAGTTCAATTTTGGACAAACACTAGAGCCAAGTTATAAAATCATTTAAAACCTAGGCAGTTTTTATTTGCTCCTAGAGACAACTAGGAACTACAGGAGTTTCTTAAGTGGAGTAGTGACATGGCCATATTGGTGCTTAAGAAAAATAATTTTGGTAGACAGAGGATAGGTTAGGGCAATGAGAAAGAGCATGGAGAGAGGTGGAGCCAAGATGGGAGAATAAAGGCAGGGACTCACCTGAGCTCTCCCCCAAATCCCTCCAAATACCTTTAAATAGTGACTCTACACAAATTCTGGAGTGGCAGAACCCACAAAAAGATGGAGCCCAAGACAACTTAGAAGGTCAGGAGGAAAGGTCTGCTGCACTAGGGTGAAAGAAGAGCATAGTCCAGCACAGGCTGCAGATCTGGCCCCAGCAAACCAGAAGCAGACTTCAGGGAGACTGAATCAGTGGCAGCAGTGGCAGTTTCCAGATCTCTCAGCCCACAAGACAGTCAGGGGATCATACAACAGGTCTGAATGAGATTTACAGGGGTCCCTCTCCTGGCACCAGGGGCAGGATTCTGTTGCATTGACTATACTTGGATCTGGGTCAAGTACTGGGTCTTAATCCCAGTGCAAGGAAGATTACTAGCACAGCAGAACTTGCAGCCACAGGGGAGCAAGGAATCTGGTCACAGTTCTGGGACTGAAAAGAGTGGTTGTGGTCACTCACAAACCAATGCTCAGGACAAGAGAGAAGAAAATACATCTTTCCCTATATCATAACACCTGGGAAAAGCCAAAACCTTACAGGCTCCCAGAATTACCTCTGAAAATAGTTGCACAAAAAACATGAAGCTTGAACCATGTCCCCTGACATAGGAAGCAGAACCCCATTTTAGCACAGAGTTGAAAGTGAAGAAATAGGTTGGAAAATGAGCAAACAACAGAAAAAAAAATCCTGACCATAGAAAGTTACTACAGTGACAAGGAAGATCAGCACAGACCCAGCCCTAGCAAACCAAGAGCATGCCTTGGGAGTCAATGAATCAGCAGCAGCAGTAGTTCCTTCTGGAGCTCTCAGCCCACAAGTGGTAAGGGAGTAAAACAACTGGTCAGAAGGAGATTACAGGGATCTTTCCTAGTACGGAGGGAGGATTCTGGTGCTTTGCCCATACTCAGGTCCCAGTGGCAGACCCAGGGCAAAGAGAAGCAGTAGCACACCAGAGCTTGAGATCACAGTAGAGCAGGGGCCCTCATTATAAGT